TACTTATTAGTACTTACTTACTTGCATACGCCTGTTACTCCCAGTGGAGCATAGGCCGCCGATCAGCATTCTCCAAACCACTTTGTCCTGGGCCTTTCTTTCTAGTTCTATCCAATTGTCGTTCATTCTTCTAATGTCTACCTCCATTTCTCAGAGTAATGTGCTCTTTGGTCTTCCTCTTCCCCTTTGACCTTGAGGATTCCAAGTGAGGGCCTGCTCTATGACGCAGTTGGATTATTTATTAGTATCTCAAATCTTAGTAGTGGTCGAATTCGTATTTACTAAAATCAGTAGTGTTTTACATTAATTAATTAATAATTTACTTTATGAACAGAAATTTACAGCATCATAAAATTAGACAGTTAAAACCAATGAGCATAACTAATTTTCAATATTATGAAACTACTCCTTCTTAAGCTGTGATTACATAATACAAATGATTGGGGAAAATCAATATCATAGGCTGTGTACACTTCAAACAATTAAGTTCTAGCTCATTATATCATATTATTAATCATAATTCATTATGTTTTATTTGCACATTAAAATCATTTAGTTGGGTTGTTGTTTCCCAACCTCCATTAGTTTGCTTAATATCATCATCGTAGAGTATATTTAATCTTTGTGAATAAAGACAGAATAGCATAGTTAAATTATGAAGCGCAAAAGGGTGTTCACTGAAACAAGATCAGTTAGATTCCATATAAAAATCAAAAATGTATTGATTTCATTGTGAGCATAATGAGATTCAAGAATGGAGTCATACAAAAATAAAGTGTTGTATTAAGGTCATTTTTATAAAAACTGAAATATGATAAGCATTTTCGACCTTATAAAAGATTGTGTGTAAGATTTGTATTTAGCTAATTAAGATATGATTGTTTGTCATAGACGGTTGAAAGGAATCATTTTCATTTACACTTCATTAGGATATTGCTTGCCACATCACTAAGTCGGTTAAAAAGGAAACAATGAAGTTTCCTATTCGAACTCGTCTCAACTGATACTCTGGCTTGCACAGTCGAGTTGTATCTCTGACCCCCTTAGAAAATGTGTATCTATGGGTTGTGTATGATAGATTGGGATAATCAGAAATTACTAAATGACAAGTTCACATGATTGGTAAGGAAATAGCTTTCATATGCAAAGGATTAGAAATAAACCCATGACAAGCTAGATTTCTTAAGATAATTATATACATATACATATAAATGAGTACACATTCATATGATTCAGTTAAATCAAGTAAATTTCCTTTCTCATATTTTGTATCTTCTCTCTCGTAGCAGTGCTTCTGTATAGAAAGGGTGTGTATCAGTATTAAATCTGGGATATTGTACATCAAAACAATGTAATCATAATTGTACATGATGAGTAAACTGATAAAGTTTCCATGGAATCCTAATAGTCTTCAATTCATTAAATATGTTTTCACAATTTTGACATTTAATACTGTTACACATCAGAACGAAATGACAAGAACCCATATTTCATGTTCACAAAGACTTAAGTTATACACAAAAGCATAGAATGATTAAAAGTAATTACTCAAGACATACTTCTCAAAAATTACATTAAATGAATCAAGTAAAAGCACTTTCATCGTAAATTACGTACAAAATTTCCATGTAGACATAACCCACATTTTCTATCAGAATACTATGTAGAATAAACTTAAATCATTGAAAAGAAAGTCACTAATGTCAAGATTATATTGCTTTTTAAATAATGAGTACAGAATTGTCTTACTTTAACACTGATCCGCCAGAATAACATTTAATTAGTATATATCTATCTATTAGTTTATTCCGTTTATAATTTCTCTTTCATTATAGTTTTATCAGTGCACGATATTTATTTAGGAAAGATTTTGTAAATCAATTTGCTAAAAACTGCTAAAAGTCAAAGAATATTTGAACGGACAATTGGTTACAATAACTTCATTATCAATCTCTACGGTTATAACTCCATAATTATTGTTATTTTCTACAAAGGAATAGCAATAGGGACACCACTCAGCCGATTCTCGCTTATATTTTTTAATAGCCAAACTGGAAAATGGATCGTTGATCGACATCCTAAATAAGCTAGATTATTACTGTCCATACATTAGATGATACACTAATAGTGTGTGACGAAACTATCGACAAACAATGGTTGTTGAACGGTCACAATAACGTTCATCCGGTTATTAATTTCACCAGCAAAGAAAAGAACGGTAATATTATAGTTTTCCTTGATGTCCTACTTTCTAGAAATGTAACGGTCTTACAAAAAGAAACGTATTTAGAGAGAATACTTGGACGAGTCAGTATACAAATTTTCATATCTTTACACCCCTTGAATGCAAAATAAACTCTGACACGGTCAAAAAACCCTCCACCGGAAATTCGATTTTAAAGGGGATATAGTGGGCGACATTTGGATACTTTGACTTAAAGGATCTGTTGAAAGAATATTTCACGCCGCCATGTTACATATATTTTTATTAACCAAACCAATACTTACACAACAAATCAGGGATAGGTTACTGATAATGGGATCCTATATGTGTTTATACCAATTCAACTGATCTTGTGGAACTAGTTACATAGGCCGTAGTCAGATATTATTATAATTGTGTGCTCGTGAATATGTGTCAGCATGGTTAGTAAAAGGAGTTAATAAATCTATTAACAGCGCCACTCTTTCTCATTTGATCGATAGTGAACGTCATATTAAAATAGCTTTCTGTTTTATATCACGTTCCTAATAATCTGCTAAATGAGCTAGATCACGACACCCTTACATAACTGAGACTATCTAGATCAACTCCAGCACTTATGTATCCAGAAGTATATCCAGCCTTTATATTTACCTAGGTCCACAAATGGATCACCAGATATTTTAAACCTTTTATCCCCCTCCCAATTCCTTTTACATTTATCGTTCTTAATATGCACACTCGTCTTTTCTAATTCACATGGATTTTTTAAAAATCATAATTACTTTAACAACACATCTCTTATTACATATTATATTCATACGTTATTATTATCATCTCGATTAACAAGACGAAATTCTCCTACCATGCATTTTATCAACACGATTCAATATCTCAACAGTTGAGGTCATGAGTCAATTGAAGCTAGATCACCATGGAAAACCTGGAAGCACTGAACGGCCGTTTCGTCCTATTGTGGGACTTCTCAGCAGTGCGTGGCCACGCCCCCGTCTCGTGGGATTCGAACCCAGGACCTACCAGTCTCGTGCCAGGCGCTTAATCAACTAGACTACTGGCTTCAAGAGATATATTGTGAAGTTCTAGTGAGAAGCAGTGGCCAGTGTTCAACCGGGTCAGTTGCGAAGAAGTAACTCACTGATCACAACGGCGGATGTCGCTCAATTTCGTGGATTAATTGGAGTTAGACATTAACACCGTTGGATACCGGCCCAGCGGTCTAGTTGGTTATACGCCTGGCGCGAGACTGATAGGTCCTGAGTTCGAATCTCACGAAGTGAGATCGTGGATGCGCACTTCTGGGGAGTGCCACAATAGGACGAAACGGCCGCTTAGGTTTTCCATGGTGGTCTAGCTTCAACTGTTGAAATTACTACAATCTCCACAAAACCGCCTTCTGATACGATTCAATATATTACTATTATATTGATTATAACGTGATACTTTACTACTAATCATTTTGACCTTTATTAAATCTTTCTAATTTACAAATAACACAATTCTGAAGTATTTGTGTCGTAACATGATCAAATTCAATTATGCATGCCTTATTTTGATCTTAATAAAATATTACAATAATTATGGAGTTATAAATGTAGAGACTAATGATAAAGTTATTGAAAGTAACTGTTCGCTCAAATATTCTTTGTTTTTGAATAATTTGTATATATGTGATTTATTTATGAATAAACTAATCTTATTATCCAGGGTTAGGTAACAGTTATTATGAAATACTACCAATATTAATACTTCTTATAATACACATCTGACTAACAAGCTCTAATAGAAATATATAAAACTCAGATTAAAATTTTATTGATAATTTCTCTCACAATTGTTAAACATTGAAATTCCAATCAGTTAGCTTTATAAGAATTTCGCAAATCTAATTGACGGATTACGGTCATATGGATGTGGTTGGTTTCAACTGAACACACAGGAAGGAATAGCTAAATTTCCTTAGTAATTCTTGTTTCATGGTGTAGTTCGACTCTGAGTAACAAGTGGACCGAGCTCCTAACGTTTTCTCGTGAGTTTATTATTTCAAATTGTGAATGTACTTATACAAAAAATAATAATGAAAACTATAATTTAATAAAACAAAAACTCAGATTCTACATAAATAACCGTCTAATAAGTAGTTTTTTCATGGCTCAAGAACAATTCAACACCAACAAACATACATGTCAATCCTTATTCACTATAAAATTCATATAGAAAACTCGTTCATGTTATGAATCATTGTCAAGTGAGATGGTTGAGAGATGCGTCACGTATGTTCGACAGCCGCCTAACTAGCTCATCAGATGATGTTAGCTAATATAGAATTTTGAAGAAGGATACGGATAACCAGACGTAGATGTGATATCAGTCTACCAAGTAGCTATTAACTGTCCTAAGTAATGTTGGTATATAAAGACTATTTGATAAGAATCCATGCAATAATAGATATCAGAGGTAAGAGATCTTGAACGATAAAGAGTAGGATCGGTCAAAATAGAGTAGATGCATAGAATCTAGGTCTTGAATGCGAATAACCCTTCATATATTCCCTTTCCCTCTATCACATCTCAAACAATATTCTCAATATTCAATACTTCTCATTATTATTGCTATTATGTCATTTTGACTCCATCGCTATTCATTTTTTCCTGTTTATATCTTATATTAATATAGTCTGTGAACGTGAGCTAACGCAAGTTTGTACTAGACCCTAACATTTCAAATCATAACGACTAACTGACAATATTCAATTTAAAACATAATCTACTATAATTTACAACAACAAAACAGTGTTATTTCCTTCTTCTTAACAGTTTTAATCAACAACAAGAAAAAAGGTTAACCATTAAAGAAAACATTGAAAGATAAAAGAAAACGAAATGAAGGTAAAAAGTAGCAAACATAGAAATCAACAAAATAATAGAATAAACAACGAATCACGAAAAATATTTTTTTTAAAAAGAATAAAAATCCCTAATTTTAACAAACAAAATAAAACAAATTGAATAATGAATGAGAAAACAAGCTGTTTTACAATATTTTTTAAAAAAAAAGGATTTTCTCAATGAATTTCATAGAGATTCAACCTTATTTCAACATTAATTATACGGGAACATTTTTCACCCGGTCGATTTGAATGTTGACAATGATGATTGATGATTTATCTCAACTTTATTATTATCATCATCAATATCAAGTGAATTAGACTTGGAATTATGTGATAATGTTATCGATTGAGCATTATTATCATCATTATTATTATCACCAACATCATCATTCAAAACAACATTTAATTTAGATGACGGACGTTGAGAATTATTGACAGTTGATGTCTATGGGAATTGTGATCAGATGTTAAGAAAAAAAAGTGTGTTGAGAAATGGATTATCAAATAAAACAGTTGTTATCATTATCTATCGTCAAAAGATAAAGATAATATCAAAATCTGATTGATAACGTGACAGAATATCATTGGAAATTGTCACACCTATACACAGTTGATTCATGCAAATACATATCTACATGTATATTATTTACATGCTAAATCATAAATTGGACATGTTTATACCTGTCTTCAGTGTGTTATCTTGATACACAAGAAACTGTAAGTATGGGATAATGGAGTTACATTGAAATGATGAACAGATCAATGCTAGACCACCAGTGAAAACATGGAAAAACTGAACGGCCGTTTCCCACTTACATTCATCATGTGCTCACAAGTAAACACCTTCAAGAGCAAGTTGTTGGAGTTTTGATGTGAAGCCATGATCAGTGAATTTCATATGTGTCAGCTGCGACTGAAGCTACACATCAACATTGTTGGATGCCAGCTCAATGGTCCAGAGACTAAGCGTTCGCCCCAAAGTCCAGGCTATAGTTCCTGTGTACGTGGTCGTGGATGCACAACGTTGAAGAGTCCCATGCACGGACAAAACGGTCGTCCACAGTTTCCAGGTTTCCGATAGTGGTCTAACATTGATCGGTTCGTGATTTCAATGAGAATAACTTTAATGAGTAATTTGGTTGAGACAAGGAGAATTTTCAAATACAGAAATCTGGGTAAAAGTATAGTATAGAAACGAACCAGTGAAAATCGAGAGTGTGACTTCTATGTTCATGGACGAAGTTCAACTATCATATATAACTAGAAATACAAATACCTTTCCATAATACCCAAAAAACTATTTTTTGACATCAGCGGGCAAAGATGAAAATGTTAAATGTATTGAATCCTTGATTCTCCCACTTTAGATTGCGTATGACAGGCAAATTGGCATTATCCTAAAATCCTGACCCTGAGACGAACCTTAAATTGTTGGTACTCGATTTTAAGAGCAAACTAATCAGACAGCGATTCTCCGATTTTTGGATAAAATTCATCAACCTTATATAGCATTTTTACATTTTAGCTGATGTCAATTCATGATGAAAACTAACTCTAAAACCCCAATCCTAATTAAGGACAATGTGAAGACTCGTAAAAATTCATTTGGCTTTTTATAAGTTCCAAAAGACGGACAAACTATATTCATAATTTTGTTGTTTTTTATTTAGAAACAGAGTAACATGCAGAAGACGAGAATAGACTTATTAATTATGTAAATCTGTACATACTTTGCAATATTGTTATTTTCTTATCCATAAACCATCCACATACAAAACCTGTTTTTTGATTGGCTATAAACTATCTGGAAATTTACCGTGGTTGTTTTGATTCCATCCTTACACTAGACTTTTACTGAAATTTGTCTAAATATTTCCTTTTTTCATTATTGGCTTGCGAAAAAGGAAGTGTCAAAGCAGACAATCAGAGTCAACAAAAGATTACTTAATCAGCTTTTAAGATAGTCGGGTTATAAGGTAAAAATACTCATAGCCGAATCCATACAAGCTGTCACAAGGTTATAAACAGAAGTCTAATGTACCAAGGCCATTGATAATCTATAAGTTAAATTCCTTACATAGGCGAATTTAGAGCCAGTATGTATTCGAGATTATCACCGTATATGGCCTTGGTAATAGAGTGGTCTCAATTAAGGATCCATTCGAAATAATAAAGACCTCGATATAGATAGGACTATTTGGCTCGAGGTCTCACAAGGAGTTCTTAACCATTAGAAAATCGAGTGGTAGCTTAAATCGATGCACATATGTACAAGGTTTTGCGTTGCACATTTCCAATTTCAGCCCATTCATCATACAACGCGATGATCAACCAATGGTGTTGGCAACAAATAATTTGCCTCCGATGTGTATGAACATTAGTCGCGTTTATACAAAGCTAGAGCTTCAGGAAGTTCTGGTTCTAAACCGATGGTGTACATGGACTGCAGGATCTTGGGGAAGCGAATGGAATATGAATACATTCTGATCACCGGCGATCATGGAACGGTATCGCTTGATATTGCCCCCAATACCTTTTGTATTATATCTCAAAGTGAAAGGGCCAGGGGACCGACCTCTTAAGAAGACTAACTGCTCTAGTTCGGATGTTCATATATATATATATATATATATATATATATATATATATCCATGATTTCACCACAATGTTATTCGATTTTTAATTACCATTTATATCAGATTTTATAAGTATTAAAACGAACTAAAACTGTTCAATGTACATACAAAATAACAAAAGCAAAACAGTAAAATTTATCTTAGTAATATTAACTTACTTGAAGTGAATTCACATTAGTTCCAAGTCTTGGCCACTCTGTTTCATCTGTAACTAATCCAATAGGTTTTAAGTTTGAATCAGATAATTTTCTGTTAGACGGAGTACTTTTTATTATATTAACCTCAGTATTTTTAATAAAATACTTTTTATCTTGATTGATTGTTTTAATTCTACTTGTAATAGAGTTAATAGTTGATGTAATGATGGCATTATTGTGACTAATACAAGTATTCGTATTGTTAGTGGTATTAGTATGATTAGTCCTAGACTTAAAACTATTCTTTTTATACTCATTACGAGGCATAGTGTTAACTTTTTCCAACCCAGTTGTATAACTATCATAATACTCGTGTTGGTACTGTTGTTCCTGTTCATTTAAACAATTCTTAGTACTTTTACGGATATTATTATTATCGTTATTTACTTTAGCAATATCAGTAGGGTTAAGAGCATGAATCGAATTATGACTGCTACGAGAGGTAATGACAACATTTTCATTGGTACTTGCTTGACCATTGAATCGCTGTTGATGATGACCCATATGATTAGTAGAAGCAGTAGTATTGTGAGTGTTACTACTACTACTACTACTACTACTACTACTACTACTACTACTACTACTAGTAATTATAGTTTTACACTTATCAGAATGAAATTTCTTTATTCCATTGGTAGGGTTTCGTTTTAACGCACCGATAGAAAGTGAATGATTATTATTACTATCATTATTATTATTTTTTTTTTTATTGTTATCATCAATAATTACACTATTGTGAATAAATTCTTCTGATTTATGATGGTGAAGAACACTTTCATCGCCTGATGAATGCTTTTGTAACCTTTTATGAAACTCTTCAACGGACCCACCACTATAAGTGTTACCATTTTGATGACGATGACGGCGACGCGTTTGATTAGTGTTATGAAAGTTACTAACACAGTTAATACACACTTGACTTATCAACTTATTCGATGTAACAAGTTGTTTTCCATGGAATGGTAAATATTGATTACTCTGAGGACATTGTTGTCGCGGTGAATGAATCATCAACGGTGTTGTATAATTTGATTGTGGTAAACTATTTATAAAACTATGAGATATTACATTATCCGAAGGACAATGTTCATGAATATGACATGGTTGTCGACTGTTTGTGTTGACAGTAGTAGGGTTACGATTCATTTCTGAGTGTTGAATAGGATAATCTGGAGATGGTAAACTGGGATATGTGCATGACCAATAACTGACGGCTAAGGGTGCCATAGGTATACCTGGTGTGGTCGATAGTGTTTGCTTTTGTATATGCTGACAATTCGATCCGAAATATCCTGTAAAACCACGTCGACCAGAGTCATTATGTAAATATATTGTAGCATCAATATCACATGAACCGGGCGATGGAAATACAAAATTATTTTGATAATGATGATATTGTGAAAATCCACCGGGATCACAACGTGATTGACCAGTAGGAATATCAACAGACTGTTGTTGTTGCTGTTGTTGATGACTTTCTTGAGGATGATCTTGAAGGTGTGGATTTGGAAAAGGTAGGAAATGTTGACCATGTTGTAAAGCTGGTGATGTATACGGTCCAGATATGTATCCACTGGTATGACCTATAGTGATTGATTTATCAAAAAGTGTATTTCTTCTTGATTGGAAATTAAATTTCGATAATTCGGTGACATTTATTGGCCAAGCTGTGGAATGAGATTCAGTAGAAAGAAAAAAGCAGATAAAACCGTGTACAATACAGAAAAATTGTCAGTATTAACAAGAGCATAACACAACAGATGAAGAGTTACGTAAGCAAAAACAATACTTTTAATTATTTTTCGTACACCGTCAAATTTGTTACAACAGTTAAAATCATGAGGTCATAATATCAACTAGTCATTAAATTCTAGAATTCTATATCAACCAAAAAACGATTTACTGAGGTTTTGTATGATTCTTTTTGCGTCGGTTCCAAATACTTTATTTATCGAAAAGTATAAAATACTTTTAGTATACTTGGTATGTACTTAGCAGTGGAATTTATGATACTCGTTCCATCCCATTTTGGACTCATTAGACTTATGGACCCGTATTCTAACGTTGATATTGAAGCTCGAACTCGCCACACTTTCCTTCAAATACACGTGTTATTCACTAAGCTACTGGATCTAAGGACAGCTTCTAAAGTGCTCAAAGGGTGTGGAGATATCAGTAAGCGTTTGTAGTTTCCTTTTGTTGATACTCAGGATTGTAAATGATCAGTCTCAACACCAACACCGAGATCTAGGCACCTTCAGTTAATGACTCTGAAATACGACGACACGCGAAACCTGCATTTCATTGATATTTAAACACAAAGTAAACTAAAACTTGTGAGATCAAATAATATATAGGTAATCCGCTCAAGGTGCACACATATATCTACTGAGACTGATAATCAATCTCAGTTGTGGATATCACCAACAGAAAGTTACAAACCTTTATTTGGAAACAGCACCCGACGGCCGTTTCGACTTGGTATGGAAATCCTGACGAGTGCGCACCTACGATCCTGGGTCTGGGAATCGGACTTAAGACCATTTGTTTCGTGCGCAACCCTTAACCTTTAGACTACTGAGCCAACATCCAATAATGTACAACTATTTTACACCCGACATGTACACTAGCTTAAAATAGTTCGTGATCTAAACTATGAAATTTTATTAATTAATATTGGAATAGATGTGAAGGTTAAATTAAAGCCACCACAGTACGAATTTTATTTTAATAAATAGACAGCAATAAATTGTGACAGAAATAAATTACAATATTTAGAGGTTACCTTAAAACAAAAGTCTTTTTTCTCAATGACGCAATTATAACACATGTTAATGAAAAGCTCTAATTAGTCACACTGAATGATGTCTACAACTTTAACCAAATATTTTATCTGGCGTACCGACTATGTTGGATCCGCAGTCATATTGCTTATACTCGACAGATGGAAACCACTCTAATTCCTTGATCCTACTGCTCATAATTCGAAACAAGAACCACGGTAATTCCAACGACATAAACAGGAACACGAAAGGCTGGTGCAATTAAGATTCATTGGCTCTCTAAAAAAACAATTCACTTGTTAATCCCATCACATCACCGGCCAATTACAATAGGAAGATTTCTCTGATAAAGGTCGAATATCAATGTAAACAACTTGGTATATATATATATATATATATATATATATATATATATATATTATATTATTATATATATATTATATCACATGACGGTGAGATGAAAGTTCAATCAGCCACACAATTAAAACAGGAACACGACAATCAGTTAGTTAAGTAGACACAAGTAACCGCACAAAGAAACATAAAACTTCAACTAATAACTTTCTATATTTAGAAATATTTTTTAAAATAAGCCTAAAAAGTTATTAATAAAAACTTTTTAATAGGGTATTATTGCTAAACAGTTAACCTTTGTCTGAAGTAAAGAATTTTTTTAGCTAAATGTGGATAATTTACCCATCATTAAGCTATTAAATTAAATTAATAAGAAACCTAGGGGGGTGGTCAAACCAAAACAAGACCGAATATCCATTTACAAAAACAATCAATTATTTCACATGGATAGTTTTTTAAATGAATGAATACGATACACATTCCTATACATATTCCTATATTATCACTTATCATCCACTACGTTAAGTCTCTACTGTCCAATTTTAATGTATAAAATGAAGAAAGATTCAGTTAAACTACATAAAACCTATAAAGATTAACATATTGGTTAATAACAATTGGTGTGAATAAATAAAAATAATATATTTGTAATATCCCAATGAGTAGAAATTGGTGTGAATGTATAAAATAATGAAGATGCTGCAAGTGCTCAGCAGGACGATGTTAACGATGCTAGACTTTCTGAACTGAATAGTTTATTCGAGCTGCTTTCCAATGTTTGTTTCTTTCGAAAAATTATTAGAACACACTATACCAAATCAGAAAATATAAACAGTCTTAAGATGATAATGATAAAACTAATCACATGACGGTTATTTAGTTACACATATTAGAAAAAGAATACTGATACATACTACTTGAAAAATGGAACTTTTCGTCAAGTTGAATATTTGAAAGAAAAAAAACTACTCGAATATAAACTCAGTAAAGTAATTCTATCAGGCTTTTCTCACGTACAAAAGTTTAGAAAACCGTTTAACTGAATAGACAGAATAAAGTATAAATACTATTTCATTGAAAAAAGCAACAACGAGAAAACATGACAGTACAAACAGAAGAATAAAAAGTTTACAATGACGACCTTTGGCCCAGGGACTAGTTTTGAGAGGAAATTTCTAGAGTTCTAGTAAAAAGTCGCGATCAGTGGATTTCAATTGTGTCGGGTGTGAGGTAGATAAGCACCGAACACAATGAAAGATGGTCATGAAATATCGTAGGTTGTTGGAATTCTAAATTAACACTAATGGATGCAGACCCAATTGTCTAGAGATTAAGTGTTCGTCTGTGCGGCTGAAAGTCCCATGTGCGTGGTCGTGGATGCGCATTGTGGAGGGGTCCATGTTAGGACGAAACGGTCGTCCAGTGTTTCCAGGTTTTTAATGATGGCTAGTGATTTTTAATCAAATTCGACATTCTCAACAACCCTTTACTAACACAACTAGTAAAATTTATTGAAATGTGCGTTCATATATAGCATGATGAATTATCATGCTATTTATAGTCAATTATATCAGGTGTATCATTACTTGGCATTGACCCACACTTCAAGTTCAGAAGTTAGTGTTACTAAAACGTTGCCAAGCAGAAATATATTCGGCGCGACTCGAACCTAGAACTTAGTGGCCTAATTGCACATCATAACATGTGAACCACTCTTGAACAGTTCAGATTTATTCATCCAGCAAGTACAAGGCAAAACAGGTAAAATGAAAGATTCTTCAGTAAATGAATTACTCCGAGAAGTTGATGTGTTAAGAGTATATCACCAGTTCACGCGTCAAATTCAGACGGTGAAGATCTGTATTTCACTGGATGACTTTGATGGAAGTTTAGTTCTCACAGTTAGCTGTTTCATCATCACGCTTTTATTGTTCTTCCAAAGAACATCAGCAGAAGCATCAGATCAGTAATAACCAATCAAAACCAAAGTCGACAGCACAAGCTGCCAATTAAAGTAGTTCACTTCTACCTGAACTTTGTACCGATAATGTTGCTCAGAGAACAATAAAGGCTTCATGACTAAACCATCCAGTTCAGAAAACAAAACTCCTCCAAAAAATTATCGAATTGCACAACAGATTACATCTTTCATCATTGTAACCGAAAGCTGAAAAAACTTTTCTTCGAAATAAAAATGTTAAAGAAATACACACACACGCACGAGATTAGTTTACAATTAAAGAAAATCTGTTCGATCACATAGAACGAGGTAAACAAATAAACGAATTAATGTATGGGTTATATTTACACAAATTGGTTAGTGTTACTTATAAAATACCTATTTTTAATGCATTAATACCGTTCGATTAGTGTTATGAGACTTTATTTATTATCGCTGACAGTGTGCCGTGATTAGACTACAACAATAATAACAGCAATCTGTTAACATAAAAGTCAGTGGATAATCTACTATACCTTTACGAAGGATGGACAATTCCATTAATTGCATCATTTTCACTTTGTCTTCCTTATCCGACTGTTTTTTGTGTGTATGAGTGTGTGGAGACAGAGGGAGAGAGAACAAGGAAAGTTATTACACAAGACATGAGAAGATATATGTACATATACACATGATAGATAGTACCTATGAAAATATAAGGTACATTGGAATACTTCCAGTTTTGATCACGATGACTGAAGATCCTGGGGTCTAAGTGTCGAGTGAGGAATCATGAACGTGTACTGCTGAGGAGTCTCATACTAGGTCGAAATGTCTGTCCAGTGCTTTCAGGTCTTTAACAGTGGTCTAGCTTAAATCGACTCGTGATTTTAACTGTGTAAAGACAAAACGGGTTTAAATCGTTCATGAACAAACTCCGAAAACTCTAATTTATGGATTAAATCCTAAACTATTTTGCTTCTTCGAATGATATGGTATTAAAATAATAAATAGCATAAGTCGTGTATAATGTGCTTAACAATAAAGATTGTACTTCAATTAAAACAATTTATCTCTACTGTACAAAACCATTACGATATACATTACGGGAGAAGTATACTGTCAAATCAATCAGTTTTTAAGTTTAAGAGCGAAGTCTGAACTGCAATGTTAGCTATTGATCGTCGACAAATAAATAGTCTATTTGGCTATCATATGAATTGAAAACGATTGCGTATGAATGGAAAAAAAACATGAAATCCTTGCTTACATTTCTAAATGCTAATTGTGTCGACCGAGTAAATCGATAAGGTCTGATGTTTGTTCAAAATTAACTCTTAAATAAATCATATTTTTAGTAATCTTCAGTGAATATTAGATAGGTATACATATGTTATCCATTTATAGATTGTTTTTCGATAACACCTTTTAATCAACCTAGTAAAACCTTTGCAATCAAATAGGTGGTAGTAAATCGCATAACAGTGGTTAATGAGTTCAACAAAAATTATGATAGACGGAATATATAGGTATAGTAATCGAGCTATACAACAAAAATATAAACAATAATAATTCAAAAAATGGTTCTGAAAGTTCCAAATGCCATGGTATGGTAAAGGGAGGAGAGAGTCCACTTTCCCTTTTGAAATGCTCTCACATGGCTACGCGTATACAGCCACTTCTAGGGATGTCCTGCTAACTGTCTTCTTGTAGTAGGGTATTGTTTACGAAATTGAGAGGACGGAAAGCGATTTTCCGGTGTTTTAACTGGGTTGGCAGATATGGAGGATCTATATAGAGGGATTGGAAAATCCTGATATCAAACCACTGGTGCACATAAGCCCCAGGATTCTGAGGGAACAAATGGCGTATGAACCAATCGATAGTCACCGGATATCATGGGATCGCATCTCTCAACATTGCCCCACTGTCACATGGATTAAATCTCTAGGCTACAAGCTCGAGGTGTGATCTTCTAAGAAACCACCTGATTCGGTTTGGGCGTCCGGGCAGTATTCCAACCCTCACACAAATCAAATGAAGTGTAGCGCACACATATTTGGTGCCTGCTTATACTAATGTTTATGTGTTTTAATAAACTTTTCATCTTGCTATAACGCTAGTGAGAAACTATGGTCATACGGCATGTTGAGCATTTATCCACAAATGGTATTAATAACACGGATTGACTGAAGTTATTTAGACATATAAACTATGAAGTTCCGGCCTAATGGTCTTAAGCCTAAATACTCATCCTGGGGCCTGGAGGTCTCGCATTCGATACTCTGTGGTGAAGGTCGTGAATACACGCAGCTGATGAGTCCCCCACATTAGCGTAAAACGGTTGTACAATGCTTTTTAGTTTCCAACAGCTCTCTCTAATTAAGGTCAATCTGTGAAGTAAACTATAACTGCCTACCTACTTCTCTATTCATTTATCTACATATTTATTTGCAAGTTTTTCAACCTTACTATGAACGTAACTGATAAACTCTCATCACTAGATATTCAACATTATTATCATTGAGTGAAACAAATGAAATGGAAATGACAAGATGATTAGTGGCAGTTTGTATACAAACAACGGCATAACTATTCTAAAGAGTAGAATAAATCACTTTAAATTAAGGTATACTGTGTACACAGTTAAAACTAATTACCATCACTATTATCGTCATTAATATTATTGTTATTAGCAGTAGCAGTAGTAGTAGTGATAGTAAGTAGTAACTATCATCTGCATGTATGTGTTATTATATCACGAGATTGAAAAATAGAAATGAATAAACAAATAAATACAGAACCATATAGGTAGTTTGAAAAGTAATAAAAATGACAATATATATTCACGAAAATAGATCATTTTGACGTTAATACTGACAATACAACACGTGGTAATGCATTGTACACAAATAATTGTGGGGAAAACAACACTTTCGCTTACCAAGAGAGAGAAGAAAGCAATTGATGGTAATAAAATCAGGCAATCAATGAAAACTTAAAATGAATTCAAATCTCATTAATATGACCATAGAAATAGAAAGATGTACAAATATTAGTAATGACATGTACGCTGGTTGTAATACCTATTTTACACTCACTGAGTATGTTTTTTTCTGAGACAAATGTCTTAATACTAGCTTATAAGAAAATAGGAATGCATTTAAGTTTAAACTCATCTAACGTAACTCAGTAAACAAGTGCTTTGAGTCCCGATTCTATGTGAAGAACTAAATGTACAAAACTATGTCGAGTTGGTGGTACAGAATTCAAATAAGTGACACTGTAGTTACATGTCGAATATTTTAACCACTAGATCACTAGTCCTCTTTTCTGTATATATCTTTTGATCGATATGACAACAATAATTATTATTTGACACGATGATGTCCAGTCACTAGTTACTTGTCTATTTTCAAGTTAATAACAATTATTACAAAAATATATATCATAATCAGCTTTATCATTCAGATTTTATTCAAGATTATTGTCTGACATTACCTAAGATATTTGAAGTCACAAGTTTCAACACGCTATAAAAACGCATTTATTCTAATCACACATGCATAAAGCCTGAAATAGGTCTCACACAAGAAAAATAAGACTAAAATGCGATTTATTTTACTTACTACTTTTACACTTTCCTGTAGAAACATACTAATATATTCGCTGGCTTTTTCAAGTCTAACTTTAGCACGATTTTCGTAATCTTCAACTGTAATTAGAACATGCAAATTGTCATTTAAATGCTGCTCCGAGTTTGGCCGAACAAAATTTGCTCCAACCTAAATTCAAACATCATGGAGAATAGAAAATAAAAGTTTTTTTTAAATAATATGAACAATGACAGAAATACAAAAATTCGAATGAATAGTCGATCGTAGATACGCACTGCTGAGGAGCCCCGTGCTAGAACGAAGCGGTCGTCTAGTGCTTCCAAGTTTTCAGTGGTGGTGTAGGTTAGATCGACACATTAATTCAACTGTTAGAATAATCAGTTAGCAACGGTAGAATCTGGTAAATATTTAAACTGGTTTCAGTTTCCAGATTACATCAACAAAGCGAGATGTGATTATGAAGACAAATGTTAGAGTATTAGTACAAGTAGTAATAATATCAGTGTTAATTAGATAGACCAGGCATGGAAATTATGATTTTTAAAGAAATGAATCCGCAGAATAAAATATGTACGATACTTTTAAAAATTATTATTTGAGGGAAGACAAGAATTGAATGCATATGAGTCATGTCACACATCTTCAACCAGGTAGTTTGTACCTGCCAACATGATGTGACTCAAAAGTCAATTACTTCATTGACTGATATCATGTTTTGATTTGCCTATATAGATGACTTTATTCCAACCTATTGCTACCCCAGTGAATATCGCACGTCGAAATAGGCAATTGTTGGATATTTGTAACAATACATGTCCGAACTACTTCAGTAGATGAATCATTACCTCATCAGTCAGTTTGTTATCTTTACCTACAAATGTGAATAATTTATTATCAATGACAAACTTGAAATCGAATACAACAAAACTATCTCATGAATAATGAGTCCACCCTTCAATTTTGATGGGAAGATAATGTTTTTCTACACATGTACTGACTTGTGTATTGATGGATTACTTCATATTTGACTGGCTTAATAACCACCACTCACAAGGAATAATAAAAAGAGTAAAACAGCTGAATAAATCAAGTCGCGTTGAACATAATTTTAATCGCCACTTAAATACTATGATGCAGCCTAGTCAGAAAGATGTACTGATTTCGATTATTTAAACAATTCATTATGAAACAATGACTTAAAGTTGATTCAAGAAGAATGTGGATTTGTTGATTTTTCCTTATGTATATTTCAATTATTTCTACTGTCATGATGGTCATTAATCTAAATTTTGTTCATTTTCAATGTGGTGTGAGATGGAAAAACAAAGTCGATGATAAACTAATTTAAAGTAGAAGATGGTTTTGTTTTTTCGCTGACATTTAGAAAAAAATAGATACTTCTGGAGTATAATTTTTTTGATAACGCTCACTAGATAAATAATAAAGAAAAGCTGTGACCAGTGGATTTCAATCAAAGTCGGGTGTGAGATAGATGTCTACCTCATCCAACGGATGAAGGATTAATTGAAATTAGACATTAACACCGTAGGGTTCCGGCTTAGTGGTCTAGAGGTTAAGTGTTCGCGCGCGAGACCGTAGATACGCATTGCTGGGAGTCCCATACTATGAAGAAGCGGCCGTCCAGTGCTTCCAGGTTTTTAATGGTGGTCTAACTTAGATTAACTCATGATTCCAACTGTGAACAGTGATCTATGTCAAGAATACACTCACATAGTGAGATTGTTTTCAATCTATAAGCTGGTTGAGGTTCAGAGAGTTGCTCCATGGTGCCTAGGTAGGTGAAGGACTTTGGTAAAGAGTTCAACTAACCTCCATCTACTTTCCAGTTGCCTATTAATTAACAGTATAAATTTACAACTAAATTAGGCGCCAGAACTTAGTTGAAATTAGAAGTTTGGGGAAGTTTCGTGAAACTGGTTGAGATCACTGATTGTATCCGGGCTTATAAGAAAGAACAGAAGGACTAATTCAACTAATAGTTTTTAAAATAATGGCATTTAGAGCTATCTGATACTTAGGTAGGACTTCGAAACAATAAACCTGAAAAACCCAGACCATTTTTAATCAGGAAATGGATGCAGTCACCTAAATTTCGATCTTCATCAAGTTCTGAAGCATAGACATACTTATCAACACTTAACCGTTGCTGTATTTCTTAACCTGCCTTATACGATTCCATTTATTGGTCAGGTTTATATTATCATTTGCTATTAAAAGGGGTATTAAAGAAGTACATAAACCTCTTAATGACTCTTCCCTTCAAACCCGTTTGCCAAATAAACGCCTGCAGATAACTTATAACGATATTTTTCAGGAGTGAACACTCACCCTTTATCTGACGCCAGGTTATCTGATGTTGGATACCACTGCATGTCCAAGTCAGGTTCCAGACTAAATAAATAGTTGGCTGAGTTTTATGCCAGTTCTCTCGACTAGTCAGAAAGTTGTGTATATTAACTACAGTATTATTTTAGATTTTGTTGATCTTAGACAATAAATTTTTATGTATTACTGGAATAGTTAAACTATGCATTTGGTTTGTGATATTATGATTCTGTAGTCTAGAAAGATTGTTAAACCGCTGTCTAAACACGTACCATAATTTCTTTTTTTCCTCTCACCACTCTATCGGGCCCAAATCCAAGTACACGTACACACACATATATACAATCCTTGTTTGTCTCTCTATTTTAAACCATAAATTTGATTTTCACTCTTCAAGCAAAAGTAACATGCTTTGTTGGAATAGAAGTTGTCGATATATGAATGAATGCCCGGGAAATTATTTCATTCTAGTTACCTGTGTACTCGATGAAATTTATTTTGCTAAAATAAACAAACACAGGATCTACATGTGCATTTTCAGTGTTTATATAAAGAGTCCGTAACTAGTCGAGTGGTTTCTGAGATTTAATTTTTAGATTTTCTCTCATTTAAAATGTTTGTATTGGTAATTCAAAATTATTATTTACTATCGGAGTACAAAAGTACTTTCGCTACAACTTCTGCATATATACCGTTTTGACTTAGAATGTGTACATTATACCCCTAAGTACGTGACAGATACTTTGGGAGATTTTTTCCCGAATAAAATAATGTACAAGTGCATCATATTAACATTAACACTCAGTGTGATATTTATAACGAACTTGAAAACAAATACGTAGAAGACTATCTGTGCAAAACTATATCGTATTTTGAAGAAATATGCTCCTTACAAAGACATATAACAGGAAGTTGTGAAACCCTCACACAATCTACAGTTACATTTTTTTTCTAAAAAAGTAAAACGAATTTAGGAGTGTAAATACATTCAGCTATTTGCAGTGACCTTACATTGGACAAATAAGAACATTGGTATTCGAATGTTTAAATGAATTCTAACCCTACGAAAATAATATTGTACAAACATGAACGGAACAAGTTTTACGTATACCTACACTACTACTTACTCTAACGCGTAGAATGACGCTTAGGAGTAAGTTGAAAAAAGATAAGAGTTGGTAAATCAAGAGAATGACATTGGTCCATAAAATCATTGGCTGCTGGTTTGATTGGTGCTAGAAGATGTAAACTTTCTAGCTTGAGACAGCATTGAGTGAAATAGGGTAAATTTAGTGATATTACCAAAATTGCAAGCATTCTCTACCTTCCATGAAATCAAATATTGCGCACAATGGAGACGTACTGACATTAATGAAAGTCTACTTCAATATATACATAATTTATCGATTTATGTGGATGATGTTTTACTGTGTAATGATACTCAAGCCAAGCGATCCGCACGTGATCAGTGCCCTTAAGTACGACATGTGCTTTGGACCTACTAATTTCAAAGTACTTTTACAAGACTATTAGGAACTTGTAACTGTCCTCACTCTTGTTAGTGAACAGTTAGAAATACACTACCATAATTATTCATAATTCAGTATTAACGATTAAAATAACGTTAGTTATCAAACAAATAATCACGTTCATTCTGATAGATCCTTAGAAAGAATATTTTAAGACATCTATACGATCCCGCTACTCTTATTGCTTAGTATTTTTCGGATACATTACTCGACTAGTCCCCAAAATCAGAACACGTTTGAACAGGGACAAAATTAGAATTTAAATAAACCAAGTTGAGTGAGAGTAATAATCATAAGGCGAACTGTTAGTGAACTTATAATTTATACACAAGAATATTTTAGAGTCTTCTTTATATATCTCCTAGAGCTGATTGGCTAAAAATGGGGCAATCAGCGCACCCCAATATCATCCTGTATAAGACATGGGTTATTTCCAATATATGACCTGTTAACAGAATCGCTGAATGTATACGCAATTTCACAAAATTAACTATTCAAATAAAAATCATAACACAAATGTTAAATGAATTTCAGTAGAAAACAAGAACCCTCAATTTAGAAAAACAAGATTCAATCACAACTCACTTTTGTTTGATCTCGCATAGATCCACGACCACGAATCATAATTCTTACTCCTAAAAATTGTTGTAAACATTTAGCAGTGGATCCGTGAGGACCAAGAATTCGTCCAACAAAGTTGTACTAATATTGTGCACGTTTATGAAGACAGGGAAATATCGTTTGGAAATGAAAAATAAACACAAATAAAGATAGTGCAAATTGATGAAAACGATACCAATAGAGATAAAGCGGGATTCAAACATACAATCTAATTGTTGATTATTTAAAAAAACTACGGAATTATTACTTTTACAGTCGAAAACAAGAAAAAAGACAAAAGTGATTTACTTTGAATTTACCAGATTGAGTAATAATTGTTTAGAGCTTTAGTAAAATTGTATAACGTTCGTTAATCTTTCAGTCTAACATTTAAGGCATTTGCTATCTTTCGCGACAACGACCAAGAAAAAGGTAAGTTCAGCGAAGGGATCTCTTTTCAACGAATTTATTATCAAGCTGTACAATCGTATATATATGAAAATTTTGTTTTTTGTAAAAGTACTAATAATAAGCTGATAGCTACTCCCTACCAAATGTATAGGTTAGCTTTGAGTACTTTGATAACAAGTACCTCAGTAAAATGCTACAAAATCGCACTCCCTTGTTAATTAATTATTTAAAATGACTTCAAAACGTACACAATAAACCAGCCATTAAGTAACGATTGTACAATCTCATTCTAAAAAATTTCGAAACCTTTAAGTCACAGCTTTTCAAATGGTTATCAGAAATATGAATCTATTCCCACCACCTACCTATTTTGTAGTTAATTGTTTAGGGAATTTGATCACCTCTAAATGTGAGTGACAAAACTCAAGTGCATTTGCACTGTATTATGCTTGACATGTTATTATTGTCGGATACTCATTTTCCTACACATATGTCACGGAGCAGCTTTAAAACAAAAACAAGGTACTGTTTCATGCATTTTTACGATAAGATTTTCATCTATAATTTGTCTTTTTAATAATATCCACCAAAAAACAGAACTACAGAATATGAGTATGATGATGTCTCGCCTCTTAGACATCGGAATTTAACAAATGATTCAACAGAAGTACTCACTAACTGCCAGTAGTAAGTTGAGTGAACAACAAAAGCGTAGGCATACAGATGGTGATGAGAGGCATTCACAAACTAGTTGCCTATATGAAAGCAATTAAGTAGCTATCTCTATGCCACTAAAAGCACCAGAGACCAGTTCAACAGGCTACATTAGCTATGCAAATAACGTATTGTTTTTTACTTGGTTGGTTAATGAATTTCATGTATAAAAAACACCTGAAATTTTATTTGCTATGCTACAAAAAAGAACAAAATACAGTACAAGGAATACAAGATGAAGATTCAAACATAAAATAAAATTTCTAGGAACGAAATTTAGAACAATAGAAAAAAACTGAAACACAAACATCTGTAGTGTGATGTCAGTCAGTCAGTCAGCTACAACGTAGGACCAGGCACATATGTGCATCGGTCCAGGTTGCCATACCTCATTAGCACAACAAGATGAACACCGGATTCATAGGAGTGGTTAGGTCAAAGGTTGCAATAAGGATATAGTATAGGAAGGAAGAATTAGTTCGTAGAAAGAAAGGTATGAAGTGATTTTAATCTCATAGTTTAAGGGAAGACAGGGAGTGTATACACCGACGCCATTGTGATCGATTCTGGGCCATGTCACCAAGAGTCTCCAACCATTGGTTACGAAAGTCACGCGGACCCCAACCAAGTAGTCTGCATCTACCAACATGGCTAAGACTAGAAGTGTAGTGTGATGAGAATCAAATGAGAAGTACAAAGCCGCATATATAATTTAATAAATAGTCGTATTTGTTGTTCAAACAGTTGATATCAAACTTGATTGAAGTAACCCAAATAAAGAGGGATTGAAAACCGACGAGTGAGTATCTACCTCACAGTTAAATAGTTTTACCAAATAATAAGTGGAATATTATTTAAGGAGGATTATGTTTGATTGCCTATTTAAATTATTATAGGGTACAATTCCAAATACGAGCATACACAATAAATTTAAAGAAAAACAATATGAAAAATACATTGCTTATCACTTACATTATTGGTAGAGTCCATCGGCATATATATTTTAGCTTGTAGATTAACCTTAGGGCCATCGGGTTTTGGCAATTCTCTTTCTTTTATTGGACAGATACCGGATGTCGAAAACAATTCGCTCTGAACACGCAGTATTTCTTTTAAAAGAGATAAACTAGAATACAATTAGTACCTTCGCCCAAAAGTTTTTCGATATGAATGTATAAGCCAGGAGTGGCTAAGAGTTTCATGCGATCCAGAAATAGTTCTTTCAAGTAATCAAGTAACTGCTTCGTATTTTTTAATTCTGAGGCTTTGCCGGAGCACATTAGGATGCGAGGTAATTAGCTTATTGATTATTAGGTTAAAGAAGGGGTTAATTCATTCACAAAACATTTGAAAACTAGCAGTGCGTGAGCACGCTCGTGTTGGTGTTAGACTATTAGCAGATATTTAGACGAGACATTTTAAACAGAAATGGGTAATCTGAAAGGTAAAAGACGCAAAAACTGTAATAGACAGATGAAAACTCCATGATTTTTTATTGCCTAACTCTCAAGCATCATAGGTCTAGTATATCTTGATTAAACTAACTGCTATCCTCACCCATGTGAATTAGAAGTCACATTTAAGACAGGATGAACTGTGATATTCAACACAATGAAGACAATAACGGACATATTTAAATGATTACGGTGTTAGAATAATGAGCTGTGAATCACAAGTGTAACCCATGATAATGAAGATAAACGAATATGATGATGGGATTACATTTAGTAAGGCTTTCAATTAGAACCCTTAATTTAGGAAATGAATTCCAGGAACTAAGAGAAATTGTGGATTCGATTAAGTCATAACAGTTGTTACAAATACGAAATATCTTTAAATAAAAAGATTCTAGGATAGTGTCGGGCTTTATTTAGTTTAAAACCTTTGAGTGTGATCTCATAATTTTGGAACTTGCTAAGTGTTTAGTCGTGAAAAAAACCTATGTCGTACTCTAACACATTTCGTCCTAAACAGTTGATAACACCATACAGAAATAAATTAAGAGCTGAAGATCGTGTATTGTTTTTATCACAGCATGTTTTAATGAGGTCCACCTAAACCACTCAGAAGTTTGCCCAATGAGAGTTAATAACACACTGAACAATAAAATACTATTTTATATTTTGTTCAACTTCATCACAGATCTACTGCTGAAGATGACTTTCTCGTCGACTGAATTTCCAGGAATCGGTGTCCCACAAAAAGATCAGCTTATCGACTTCGAATATGCAGATGACATAGTTCTGTTTGGTGAAGACGCTGATAAAATGCAGTCATTTGGTAAAACTGAGCAACAACACCAGGATTTTTGGGATGCGCTTCTCACCCCTCTAAATGCAAGTTGTTGCTTCAGGACTGGCCTGCGTCAACAACTGAACTAAGGATAGAGAGTGAAGTAGTCAGACACATCGACAACTTCGCCACCTCGGAAGTCTCATCAACCCTATTGGGTTGGTGTTTGACGAAATCTCTGCACGGATTCAAAAACTCGTTTGGCTTTTGCCAACTTATCTCACCTATGGCGAAGGCGAGATATCAACTAAGGGACGAGTATACAGTGTGGCAGTTTGTTCTGTTCCACTTTTTGGCTGAAAACGTAGCCTTTAAGACTAGAAGATACTCGATCACAGATGTCTTAGAAATAGTGCTCGCATCTGGTGGGATCACCGGGTAAGTAATAGTGAGGTTAGACGCAGGGTATTAGGGAATGATGGTAAATCAGTTGATAAGGTTGTAAAACTTCATCGACTGTGTTGCGCATGCCTGAACACCAATTACCACGACGCGCAATGCTGACTAGTGTTGAAGACGGGTGGAAGAATGTTGGGGGCGGCCAAACAGAAACGTGACATCAGTCCATAAAGTCACTAACCTCTGATATGAGCCATGTTGGTAGATGCAGACTACTTGGTTGAGGTCTGCGTGACTATCGTAACCAATGGTTGGAGACTTTATGTGACATGGCTCAGAATCGATCACAATGACGTCGGTGTGTACCCTCTTTGTTTTCCCTTAAACCGCGAGATTAAAATCGCTTCATATCTTTCTTTCGACGAACTAATTCTCTCTTCCTGCACTATATCCTTATACACAATCTTTCTTTTATAATATAACTGCTACTGAAGCAATTACGCCTATGAATCCGGTGTTCATCTTGTTGTGGTAATGATGTGTAGCAACTTGGACCGATGCGCATGTGTGCCTGGTCCTACGTTGCAGCTGACTGATTGATTTTATATCTACGGCTCAATGGAATATGATTTAGATCCACGAATCGTTTGTTGCCAACGGATACCAAGCACTGAATCGATTATGAGTCTTCCCACAAATGATTTGGTATCTCCATAAAGCTTTAAATGCTCTTTATATTGAGTTTACGGTCAATGAATCTCAGCTAACCACCTAGGCGAATGTGCTCTGTACCTGAACACCCCGAGGCATTCAAACTGTTGTTGGCGGCACAACTTATGCTTTAGGAGATGTATTAATGTCGTCTAGTTGACAGTAAACTCATTATTGATCGCGTTCGAGCTAGAGTGTGAAAACTTGAAAAACGTTTTTCCCATAAATTTGTTTTAACTGTAATTAAAGTCTCTACCCTAGTGTTATTCTAATAACATTGGAATGCAAATGACTTGTAATACTCTGCTTCAGAGGAGTGTGACATCAGTACCAGCAAGGAAGAAAATGATAAAAAGGGTCGTCAATAAGCTCACAAGCAGAAAAGAGGGCTTTTTGTGACTATTTAATGGAAATGCTCTCTACCTTAACCATACAATCACACCTAAGATATCACTCTCCGTATTTAAAATACAAAAAATTAATTAAGCCAGTACGGTATTTCTTTAGGGACTATTGAGTATGAGATAAGATACTGGATACATGACGCAAGTGACAATTGCAAAAGTAACGAAATAGTGAAGTTAGTATCGAGTAAGAATTGATCAGTAACTTGCAGCAAATAGATCCACATCCGACCAATATGACGATCTGATAAGTCGAACAATAGGTGATAGCACTGTGTAAAGCAAACAAATTCGTCCTTCGTCGTTGAGTAGAACTATATATAATGACAGTAGCAACTACTGACTTACGCCAGATTTTAGGTACAAAACTGACTTACTACGGCTTATCTAGGCGACTTGAGAATTTGGAAAATAATGAGGTAAACGTGGGTTGGCGTAATATAAACTTGCAAAAATGGACACTAACTAAGCCAATCGAGTAGCTTACAACATTTTATTTACTGCGGTTGCACGCAGAGTAGCGTGCACTGGATAGTGCCCTGGCCCTCACACAAATTCAATGGTTTATGTGGCGCATATATATTTGGTGCCTTCTTGTACTAATGTTTATGTGTTTAAGTAAATAAATAAGAGTAGCGTTAGAGGGCTGGGAAAGAGATAAACTGAAAAGATAAGTCGACGACCTAGCAAGAGCACAGGGTGAACTTACACTTAACAAGTAAAGCAATCAACAATAATCTGTAATAACAAAAGCCTCAGACTCAAATGATCTTAAAACCCGGACTAAAACCAGAGAACCCAACCCGCTACAACGGGAGCGCCGGGAATTACGGCTCATTTAGCGATTCCAAGGACTTTTTGTGTCCCATATGCAAAATTCCATATCTTGACAACCAGTCAGCATAGGTGCTTGCTTCTCAGTGCCAACAGTTCTAAGCACTAATGACAGAAAACGAAGAGGTTTGTACAGGTCCTTAAAAACGTGAAGAATTATTTAAGAGATCTTCACTAAAATGACATCTTATGGTATTATAGATACCAAATGTCCTGATGAGTAATTATGAAAGCAAACCGTTTCGCTTTTATTTCAGTTTTATTGGTTTCTTAAATTGACGGTAATCCTTCTGGTTTTACTGAACACTAATCTAGACCAAGGAATCTTAGAGGTGACCTGATGGCATACAGTATCCTTAACAATTCTAGACATCCCCTTTAACACCTACCTAAGCTTGGCCCTAATACAAACCTAAAGGGTAACACTCAGAAATTGGAGACTCAACATAGCAGAACGGGCCGTAGACACAACCTCTACTCCTTACGAGTTGTCAAATGCTGAAATTCGCTGCCGACTGAACTAGTCTAAGGATGACATCTTGTTATGAGTTACCAATTTCTTTTTTTATAGTCTGTTATAGTTGATATATCTAGGTTCCTGCCTGGAGGTATTAGTGATACTATACACGGAAGCATGTTAAGCGAAAGCTTCTTACATTCTGTCCACAACCATTTGAACTTAGTCAAGAATCCGCATCAGATTACACTCGAGTACGTCGTGCTGCCCACCTTTTACTATTGTAGCGGTAAATAAATCCCCAAAATAAATAACTCTGTAAGTTTTCGACATTGGATGCTGACCATATGTTTTAGTGGACTCATCTAGCTGAAGGCGCTCGGTCAAGCATCCGCACCAGATCACGTGTGGTAACGCTATGCTCAACATCTTCCGCAATCGCTAACCAGATTAGATCTGAGAATTCCGATATATTGGTAATTGCCAAATACACTCTTCCGATATCCTCGACTCTGTCTTTTGATTTCTCTTGGTGGGTACGCCATATATTAGAAGATGTTGCTGGTAAAAGCGTTGTCAAACACTGAATCCCTGTGCCATCCTCACTGGTGAGACCGACGTGATCTGAGACACCTAATTGCAACTGTGAGTCTGTTCCTTTTTGGGATTTTTGTATATTATTGCCTTATTTTTTATTTTTTAGATATTGTGATATTATTTCCCCGTGTCTCAGGATATCTATATATTTTTCCCTCGGATTCTCGTACTTAATATCCCCCTATGACCGAACAGACTTCTAAGGTATTTAAGATTAAAACCATGTCCCCACCCCCGTTCCAACTCATGCACTTCTGGCCCGACAATGTCGAAGCCCTGTTCTGCTACGCAGAAGCCGACTTCCACGAGCACGGCGTGAACGACACACGTGCACAATTCCTCGCAGTAGTCAAGGCACTACCGCGGGAATTCAACAGGTACGTAACACCTAGTATGTTTACTAGTGATGTTTCTGACCCGTACGAAACCTTAAAGCGTTAGATTCATAAACGAGGAGACCTAACCGATCGACAAAGGTTAGATCAACTCTTTAATAACAAAGACATGCAGCACGGTTCTGCGACGGACATGTTGCAACGGATGAAAGAGGTTGTCGGCCAACGAACTTTCGATGATAGCCTATTTAAACAACTTTTCTTGTCGAAACTTCCTCAACAGGTTCAAGCTGTGCTTGTCTCGTTCCACAACAACACTTTAGACGAGCCAGCTGCATCTGCTGACCGCATTTTAGAAACCACAAAATCTACTACCGAGTTTTTTCAGTCAAAGAAAAGCTTCAAACGACCCAGCATGACATTACAGAGTTATGTCATACACTCACGCGTTATCTTAATGTTCGTAACAACCGTAAGCGCCCACACACCTCACGTGGAAGCACTTCACGTAGGCGATCTGTCTCTAGACCACGAGAAACGGATAATCCCGATTGATGCTGGTATCATAACCAGTATGGAAAGTCTTCCAGAAATTGCAAAAAACCCTGCAATTTTCCCAACACGAAACCGAGTGACTCGAAAAACAATTCGGGAAACTTCCAAGCCGGCACGCGTTAACGGCAACCGTAGCCGGCGAACATAGCCGTCTGTTATACGTCACAGATGTGACAACGAGTGTTCGCTACCTCGTCGATACTGGCGCAGAAGTTAGCGTTCTCCCAGCAAATCCTAACGACCGACTTCACGAATCGACTCTAAACTTACAGGCGGCAAACGGAAAACCGATCGCTACGTATGGCAAAAGGTACGTTTACCTTAACGTGGGTTTACGCAAACCCATCCACTGGATTTTCGTTGTTGCAGATGTTTCTATGCCAATCATTGGTATGGACCTTCTACAACACCACAATCTGATCATCGACACTCGCAAACGGAGGCTAGTAGACGGAAACACTAATTTGTCCGTTTGCGTAACTTCTTTTACTGGTTGTAGAGTATCCCCAGTCACAGTTAAACATATGATAGACCCACTCTATCAACCACTACTCGATAAGTACCCTGGGATACAACAAACTCAACCGAAACTACCGTGTGTAACCAGCAATGTTACACATCACATCACGACTACAGGACCACCTGTATTCTCTAAAGCACGACGACTAGCTCCTGAAAAGCTAAGGTTAGCGAAAAACGAATTCGATCACATGATGGACTTAGGAATCATACGACCGTCAAGTAGCCCATATGCATCTCCGTTGCACATGGTCCCTAAAAAGGACAGCAACGATTGGCGTCCAACTGGCGACTATCGGCGATTGAACGCGAAAACCATTCCCGATCGTTACCCGTTGCCTCACATTCACGATTTGACAGCTACCTTGAAAGGTACAACTGTCTTTTCGAAAATCGACTTGGTTAAAGCGTATAACCAAATCCCTATGGCCACTGACGACATACCGAAAACAGCTATCATAACTCCCTTCGGACTCTATGAATGCCTTTCGGTCTAAGGAATGCTGCTCAAACATTCCAAAGATTCATAGACGACGTTTTTCGAGGTCTCAACTTCGTACATGCGTATGTTGACGACTGTCTAATCGCAAGTCCGGACAGAGAAACACATCTCAAGCATCTGGACCTTGTTTTCGAACGATTACAAAAACATGGCATACTGTAAACGTTCAGAAATGCCAAATCGGGACCGACTCGTTAGACTTCCTAGGACACTATCGATGCTCAAGGCATTCGACCTCTTAGGACCAAAGTGGCGGCCATTCTGGATTACCCAGAACCGACCACGGTCAAGCAATTACGAACGTTTAACGGCCTTGTAAGTTTCTATAGACGTTTCATACCCAAATGCGCATTACTCATGAAACCGCTAACCGACCAACTTCGTGAAAATGCGAAATCCATTAATTTGGACGACACCGCACGAAAAGCATTCTCCACAATTAAGCAACAATGCTCGCACATCAGGACACTCAAGCACCCATTAGCATCGCAGTAGACGCATCCGACTCGACAATCGGAGGAGTCTTACAACAATGGGTTAACAACTCCTGGCAACCCTTGGCATTTTTCTCTAGAAGGTTGCTAGACACCGAATCGAGGTACAGCACATTCGGTAGGGAACTCCTAGCTATGTATTGTGCTGTACGGCATTTCCAACACTATATCGAAGGCCGTGAATTCACTCTTTTCACGGACCATAAACCGCTCACTTTCTCGTTAAGCTCTCCTTCTGACAAGTACTCTCCCCGTGAGTCTCGACAACTGGACTACATTTCGCAGTTTACTTCAGATATTCAACACATCTCTGGAGCAAACAATGTAGTTGCAGACGCCTTATCTCGCATAACTTCCTTGAACAGTTTCCAAGGAATCGACCTTCTTAAACTCGCCGAGCTTCAAAAAGAAGACACTGATCTTCAGCACGAGTTATCGTCAAACAGATGGGAACAGGTAAGGAAACCTTACTGTGTGACACATCGCCCAATCGTGCCGAAACATTATCGACGCAATGTCTTCAATACATTGCACAAACTTTCTCATCCAGGTGTTCGTGCAACCATCAAGCTTATAGCAGAACGATTTTGCTGGCCTGGCATGAATAAAGACGTGAGGGAGTGGGCACGCTCCTGTGTAAGCTGCCAAAAATCTAAGGTTATCAGACACAATAAATGTCCCTTAGGCTCGTTTAAAACTCCCGATGCTCGTTTCGACCATGTTCATCTGGATTTGGTAGGACCTTTACCAGATTCAAATGGATACTCTTACCTCTTAACCTGCGTAGACCGTTTCACTCGATGGCCAGAAGCAGTACCTATCAAGGACATCACTGCTGAAACAGTGGCCCGCACATTCGTCGAACGATGGGTAGCAAACTTCGGCTGCCCTTCAACCATCACTACAGACCGCGGACGTCAGTTTGAATCTGATCTTTTCCGTCGTCTGACCACACTTTTAGGAATCACTCGCTTCCGAACGACCGCCTACCATCCACAAGCAAACGGGTTGGTAGAACGTTTTCACCGACAACTAAAAGCTTCACTATCAGCTGCAAACGTTTCACAGTGGACCGACGCTCTTCCACTCGTCTTACTAGGTATCCGCAATGCAGTGAAAGCTGACATTGGATACACTGCGGCTCAACTCGTTTATGGAACGACACTTCGACTTCCAGGAGAATTCGTGGATCCTTCGTTCTCTTCAATGAACATGGATCTAACCTCCTACACGAACAGGCTTACAAACGCAATGCGTTCAGTTAAACCTGCTTCCACTCGACCTCAATCAACTGATGTTTTCGTTCAACCTGACTTACGATATAGTACACACGTTTTCGTTCGTCGAGACTCGCATCGACGACCATTCGAATCAGCATACGAAGGACCTTTCAAAGTTCTTCAACGTGAATCTAAGTACTATATAGTCGATAAGAACGGAACAAACGATAGCATCAGCATCGATCGCTTAAAAGCAGCGTATTTAGAAGGAAATCCTATTTACGTCGACTTTCCTTCGGTACAATCGCACAACACGACTCCTACACTCATAATTCCTCAACCGACAACCAACACTAGCGATGATACTCCGAATGTATCTGAAAATAAACCTAAAACGACGCGTTCTGGAAGAAGAGTAAGATT